TTTTTCAATGTGCGACGTGAAAAGATAGAAAACAGGCAGATGTACCTTATACCGAGTCCCAGAGCACGAGGGCCGCTGGATAACAGGCCGGTCTGAGTTACAAAAGAAAGAGCGTGTTTAGGATGGACGCCTATCCTTATTTGGAGATGGAACCTATTGGAACGGAAAGTCTGGGATGTTTCTGGTTGGGGGCCTTTTAGTGGCTCAGGAAACAATAGCAGGCAGCTAGATACCTTCGGGCAGAGATTTGAATGGAATACGAAAAAAAAAATTGTTCAAGAGACGAGGAGGAAAGGGACACTTTCGAGAGGGAAATAATTTGGGATTTGTGAGGGGATATAAGAGGAGGAAGGGACCTGGCTGACCTATATGCTGGCCATGAGTAACTCGGTGTAATTTTTCTAAGTGGCCACGTGAGGGCACTCTCTGCTATGCACCCAGGAGCATGGCCAACCCCAATCAATTCAAATGTGCCTCAATTTGCTGTCGGATTAATTTAATGTGTAAAGAAGGGCATCTATGGAAGATGGAGACCCAAAACTATTCGTCTTTTCTATTTTTAATCCTGAACTAGATAAATGAATAAGCAAGACTGACCTCAATTCAAATTCCCGGACACTCATAAGGATTGCATACAATAACCTCGTTTAAATCCATCGAGTATTTAATAGGGACTCAAGAAGTATCAGCTCTTCCCCATATACTTTCACAAAGCAATCGCCAAATTAGGACACGCGACGGACAAGGAGGGATTACATTATCTCCCTAAAGAGGCCGGAACTCTAAAGTTCCAGAATGAATGGAGTCAGACTAAGGAATCAGTCCAGAGCAAGCGAAGGCGGGGCCTTTCTTTGCGTGTTGCAGCTTGCACCCTATAATAGCCAAAGGGAATAGACTCCAGCAGCTGGGGATGCAGATACAAACAAAACAGTATCAGCAGGGAGAGGCCCACACCCGCGAGATTTGGGCAGTGTCGGGAGAGATCATGTGAACGAGGTCATCAGCACGGAGTCCCTCTGCTGGAAGGAGCCTGAGATTGAGGCTTGTTTGTGACTGGTTCCACCTGGGTCGAGGCGGGCAAGAGAGAGGCCCAGGTGTCACATTTCTACATCTCCAAGATGAAACGCAGCCACGGACAAAGGCGTGCATTACTGTGCAGGCTAAATATGGAATTTTAGATTCTGGAAACAAAGCGATTCTGTTTCCCAGCGCAAATGGTCCCCCTCCGCCCCAACATCGTGGAACACAGTGCGTGGCCCTTTGCTGCCCTCTGCTGTGTCTTTCGGGTACAGTAACGTAAGTGAAAGTGTCAAAAATCTGATTCAGCCAAGTGACTTCTGATGAGAACTGACCTCCCTCCACACAAAACACTTAAAAGGTAAATTAATGTTTGTTTAACGTAAACGGTGCGCGGTAAGAAGTGGACACCGATTGTTTCTGGGGGCATCCCGGGAGAGCTGTACTGAGAGGGATACTGAATTCTGCATCACCAACTACCGAAAGCATGTGGTGTAGTTAAGCAGACTGATCTCTCTTGGAGAGGTAAAGATTTGAAGACAGTGTGGATAAATCAGAATAAGTTTGATTCTCAAAGGTAACTCTCGGGGAAAACAAACCGCAATAAATTCACTGACTTAGATAAGGGGATTTTTTCCTGTTTCTTGCGTCCTCTAGTGGCTCCATCCTACATTACATGACTGGCATGCAGGTCTCACACCCAGAACCCACCCTAAGTGTCCCCCGGGCCCCCGGGAGGGAAGGAGAAACAGCGCCCGGTGGTCTTCACTTGTGCTTCAAGCAACCTTTAAGCATGGCTTACAAAACAAGTCTTCCGGCTCAACCCAGTTTCAGTGCCCACATGTGGCACCATGGCTCCCCTCCCTGCGATGCCTGAGTGTTCGGACTCAGTGTTTCTTGGGATGGTCACTTTGCACAGCAGGACCCTGTCATCCTCTCTCACACTCTGCTCCCCACCCCTAGCAGCTGGTCAGTGCTCAGTAAATAATGTCTAGCTAGCATTGCAGTCCTGCACAGTGAAGGTGCAGGATGTCTTACGCCATGCTCTCTCCATTGGGATTCTGGGAGTTATTCTTTCAATTAAAAGTCACATCCATTCACAAGCAGAAACTTCACCCTTATTTTCGGGACTAGTTCTCATTTTCTGACCTGATCTAAGAGGTAAGCAACTTCCCAGAATTTATTGGTAAGGAACCTCATTTGCCTGAAGAGAGGGGTCTATAAGTAAGAGTACTTCACATACAAACAAAGCCCTGCAGTATCCCGGTATCCACATCAAAATCTTCCCTGGTCATGCATGTGGCTGCTACCCAATGCTGAGACGCTGGGACTTCTGGCTCAAAAGAATATGATAGACAATGATAGAGCAAGACATCCAAGATCCTGTCCCAGGGTCCACACCAGCACACATATGACTCACACACACACACACACACACACACACACACACACACAATTCTCTGAGAGGTTAACATCTAACTTAAACTGAGTTTTATTGTTGCTTTTGTTTTGTTTTTGCTTTGGGACATTTTCTCTCTGTGTAGCCCTGGCTGTCCTGTAGATGGGAAGACCAGGCTGGCCTCAAACTCACAGAGATCCACCTGTCTCTGCCTCCCAAGTGTTGGGATTAAGGGTGTGCACCACCACCTGGCAAATTTTTCTTTTAAAAACATGATTACAAGAGCGAATGCCAGGGCAGCTGTTACATTCTCTGTTACACAGAGAAACCCTGTCTCAAAAAAAAAAAATACAAAACCAAACCAAACCCCAAACCACCATGTAATTAGTCAGAATAGCAGACTTAATGTCTTAATTATGGGAAATGCTTTTCCTATAACCAGTATTTAAAAGCAGTCCATGTTTTAAGAAAATGTGTCTAAGATTCGTAAGGCTACTTTTTGTTTTTGTTTTTGTTTTTGTTTTTGAGTTTTTCGAGACAGGGTTTCTCTGTGGCTTTGGAGGCTGTCGTAGAATTAGCTCTTATAGACCAGGCTGGTCTCGAACTCACAGAGATCCGCCTGCCTCTGCCTCCCAAGTGCTGGGATTAAAGGCATGCACCACCAATGCCCGGCTACTTTTATGGCACACACTCAGCAGAAAGAATCCCAAAACAGCCTCCTATTATGCTCACATCCATTTTAATGAATACGAAGCAAATGTTTGCTTTTAGGAGATGGTATTCCAAACATCTGAGGGGACACAACCAACTGGATTTCATTGCTCACATTCACAAACTAGGGCTGCAAGCATTGAATGCTTCAGGCAAGGGTGAACCACATACTTAAGTCATTTGAATTTCTGGCATGGCCTTTGAGGTTCTAGTAGCAATGGTGTCTATGCACTGAGATCTCTCTGACATCAATAAGACATTGTTTTATTCTTCTGTGGTTGCCCTGGCGAGTGCCCTTCAGAGTTTCCCCTTTTCCTTGAAAACAGCCACCAGAGTTGACCATGAAAAATGAGGGCGTCCTCTGAATAGAAACCAAATACTCAGGTCACTTTTGTCATAGAGAAGACGGAGAAGCAATGGAGTTTGTTAAGCTGCATTTCTTTGAATTCCCTGCTAGGTGTCAGCTAAGCTATTAGATTTGAAGCAAATGAGAGACCTTTGAAATTAACAAGGGGCCCACTAGCAAAGAAGAGAGACAACCATTACCGCATATTTTATGTGTGACAAATAAGGAATCAGCTTTGTAAATATGTCATACAGTTATGCAAAATGAAACATTTTCTTCTTTCACCTTGTTTAGAAATTGTATTTTTCTCTCTCTAGAAAGACTGATGTTGGATTTTTTTCCCCCTCTCTGGTTCTGTAACTCTCCAATTTATTTGCTTCTTAAATCAAAGGAGATCCCACCATTACAAATGAGCAGCCTTTCAAAGCAAAAATATGCCTGGAATGATATCTGAGGGGCTTTGTCATGCATCAGGGAAGGGTAGGAGGGAAGGTCAGGATGTGCTTAGCTCTAGGTTTACTCTTTTCTCCTCTGGAAGCTGTTCCATCCCTGGTTGAGACGTTCAGGTCTCAGCTCTTCCATACTCAGAGTAAAAGGCTAATGGAACCAATGCTTTTTGTCCTGATCATTACAATGGGATATACTGCTGTGGTTCTCAAAGACCCATTCAAATAGGATCTAATATTATTTTATCCCATTATTATCATTTGAAAAATTAAGTCTCAATAAAATTAGAAAATGCCAACTAAGACTTTCTTAAAAGCTCATTAAAGAAGCTTTCCCTTGTGTGTGTGTGTGTGTGTGTGTGTGTGAGTGAGAGAGAGAGAGAGAGAGAGAGAGAGAGAGAGAGAATTAGAGAGAGACAGATGATAGATAGAGATAGAGAGGTGGCAGATAGATAAATAGATATACAGATAGGAGGAGCATATGTGTATGTACATATGTGTACGTGTGTGTGTGTGTGTGTGTGTGTGTGTGTCTGTGTGTGTGTCTGTGTGTGTCTGTGTGTGTGTGTGTGCCTGTGTATGGCAGGGAGGTGGTAAAGAAAATAAAACTCACTACTGATCCACAGAGGACAAGCCATGCTCATAGCTCTTGGTAGAAGAGTCTGAAAGCATCAAGGAAACCCAACCAAAGGGGGAGGGGAGCTAAAGAAAAGCTCACTACCCATCTGGTTCCATTAACTCCAAATTCACAGAAAACTATGGGGACTGAAGACTTACAGGTGCCTATCTTGCTTAACAATATCAAAATTATGAGCACATTTTTCTCATTCTTTAAATTTTAATCATGCATGCATTCTTAGGTGTTGCATTTTTGAACTGTTATTAAAAATACATATGTTCGTGCCACATTAAAGGGAGAACAGAGACCTGTGTATTGTATAATTAATCAAGTGCAAAAAACCGAATTCCTTGTCAGCCTTTGCAGAGACCTGTGCCTGTATCCAGTCAAAGCTGTTCTGCCTTCCAGATATGGATGCTACACAGATATGAATGCTGCACACTGTGATTATCCAGTACTTACTCTTGAGGTCTAAGTTTCTGGCTCCTGCGGTAATTTGCGTTGTGATTTTCGTGTCAATTTTTACAGTGTGGAGATTGCTGGTGTCCCTTGAAATCATCACGTTGTGCCACTGATTGTCATTGAGTGGTTTATTTGAGCTCCCTTTGATGAGGTTAGCACCATTTCCCAAGTCAAACACATAATGTAAGTACCTAGAAAGAAAACGGAAGAGAGAAAAGAGTCATTGCTTCCCGAATGAGCCGTGATGGTAAACAAGACATTATAAATGACACTTCTGGGTGGATTCATCCTTCTAGAATCTCGAGATGGAGCTGCCTGCATGTGAAACTACAAGAAGAGTCACCTTTTGTCACGAATCCCCCATTTCTATCAATCTCTCCTTTGGTCCATCACACTAGCACAGCATCTTATGGGAGATGTGTTCTCATGTGTAACACGAAGCTCTACAGTGTACTTCTGTTCCATTTGTCTTTCTGTTTCTCCAAGGCCCCTGGAAATGTGTGCATGGTCATCCCAGGAAACTTTTTATCATGTTTTTCCATTGAATTTTCATATTCACCTCGACTCAGTGATTCTATATGTTGGTATGTATATGTGCTTCAAGGTTAGGAGGAATCTAAGATGTACACAAGGGTGGCAAGGGAAATGTCCATGGTTTTTATGTAGTTATGTGTGTTACCTGGTATATTATCTAGTCTATAGTAAATGGACAATAATATTCCCTGAGGGGATGAATAAATGTCCAAACTGATGAAAATGTGTCCATTTGTCATCACACTGTGAAAACATTTCATTAACACATCATTCTTCCTGAACAATTCAACACAGAGCTAAGCTTGAATTAATTGGAATTTCATTAAATAACTAATCCGATAAACGGAGTCAGCTATTTAATTTAGCACTGAGTGGCCTACAAAACTTTTCTGGAATTGTGTTGTGAAAACTCAGGAAATACACATTTGGCGTATAAGAGTCATAGGAGACCTACCATGAACTACGACCAGTCTGCACTTACATGTATACTTATATAGACAAGCAACTGCATTGTTTCACACTCATAGAAGATACCTAGTAAGCGTTTTGAACATGGCCTATTTGTCTTCCCCCATCTGCTGACCACCATATTAAATCAATACATTGTGTTTCATATAGACTTTTGGATATAATTTCACCTTTATACACTTTTTTCTTTTCTCTCTTTTCATTGAACTGACATGTACGTACCCTTTAACTAATTCAACCACAATAAAGTCATTTCCATCCCCACTGTTATACAGAATTAGTCCATCTAGGGATGTGGTCTTGAACTGGAAAAAGAGATGCATAGAAGTGTAGGCTTGCAATGTAGCTAAGGCAACATAGCTCGATTTGGTCTTGAAGGTGACAGGATCTGCGATGATGTTCCTGAAGCCAAACCTGGCATTGAGCTCACAGTAATCTATATCGCCATTTTTGCACAAGTCAATGTATGCCATCCCATTAAATGTCAGGCTTTGCAGATGTCCAATGAAGTTTGAGGGGACAGAAGAAAGATAGCGTCTTTCTGTGATGATGCCAGTCTCTATGTTATGAAACTCCAGCCTTGTGTGGTCGCCTGCCATTTGGCCTAAAGGAAAAAATAATACATTGGTATGTTGTGCATCTTAAAGACACTTCCAGATTTCCATAAGCCACTGTACATTTCCATAGTAATAGAATACTTTTTAAATATAAAAAAAACAGATAAACTACTTGATAGGTGTAGCTTGTAGCAAGAATATCTAGGTATTGTTTAAGGGTTTGGTGGCCATGTATAATAAAATTTCTTACGCAAGGTTTTAACTCCCATGTAAATTTTAGCTGTAGTAAAAATTCTACTTATGCTTGGGTGTGGTGATGTCCTTCTGTCATCTCAGGACTTGAAGGGTTAAGAGAAAAGGATGATGAGTTAGAGGCCATCTTGACCTTCACATTGAGTTCTGGTCCAGCCTGAGCTACAAGGAAAAGCTGTGTCTTGATGTAAACAATAAATCCTCATTAGCATGTTATCAGTTTCTTTAAAAAGTAAAAGAAAGGAAGGAATAGAAATGAAGAGAAGAGAAAGGAGGGAAAGAAGGGCTAGGGAACAGTGATCTTCACATCCATTAGCAATCCATACATCTTAGTTTTGTGATCATGTAAATTAAAAAAAAATTTTCCTCCAGAAAAATATTATTATATATTGTTCTATATGCTGTATTAAATAGGAAAGAGCTACTGAATGTTGTTGTAATAATGAAAAATTAAAATGTGCTTGAAAGTCTAGTCTTGGTACTTTCCCTTTCTTGTGTGAATACCTAGATTCACTCTTTGCCCGAGTCTACCAATGGCTTTAGAGATTATCTCTGGACCTATATCATGTTCCTCACATCCTTCATCTTAAATAACTACTTAAGCACAATTCATTCATTCATTCATTCATTCATTCATTCATTCAGTGAACACTCAGTTCGGAGGGGGAAACGAGTGTCTTGGGTCCATGCAAAATGGGTTACCATCTCAAATATCCAAGTGGGATGCATTGTTTTATCTTTATTCAGTGGTTACTCTAAATAGGCCCCACGTCTCCCAGCCTCACCATATTTCTGTTGTCAACCTCATCGACAGTAAACCAACCCCATGTTACCTTTAGAGTAATGATCCTGTCTTCCTGTGACTTTGAAATTGAATATAAAGATAATGACTTGGTTTCTAGGTTGCAAGGCACAGCATCCATGAAAGTTAATCCTCGATTGTGGCTCATTCCCAGACTCTTATTCTCAACTAAACTGCATGCCTCATTTTCTGCTGCAACTCAAAAAGGTCACTTAAACTTCCATCAAGTTCTTCCAACCAAGTTTTTGGCTAGTTTCCCTATCCAATTTGGCATAACTGGAGAATTTATTAAGCTCATCCTATGCTATCATCCATGATATTAATGAAAACATTAATTAGGGCCAATCTCAGAATCAGCCCTGAGAAAAGGCACTGAACCATTTTTCTTGGCATAATGAATATTGAAACTAACTTTGTGGGCTCCCACCAACACTCTGATATGCTTCCATTTTGGTTAATAAAAACAGTGAAGATGCTGGATATTATCATAAAACGTTGCTGCACATAAAATATAAATTATACATTTGATTATATAAGACAAAATATTTATGTTATCAATTGACTTTAATGGCTATAAACTCTTTGGCACAAAGAAGCCTGCTGAATTGTGTTCTGTTTACATTTGAACTCTCGGAGAATCCGCATTTCTCTAAGATGGCTTTTCAGTTATCTTTCTTATATTTTCTTCTTAGTCATTTGTTTGGTTTGATATCTGTTCTGCACATTGAAAAGTAAATCCACACTTTGCTGAAGGTGATTATTGTTCCATCCACTACAGAGCCTCTAGTTATGTTACTGAAGTAACATAACTATTACCTTCTTAGCAATTCTGGTTCTCCTATAACATCATTTTGCTTTTGCTCTTCAGTTTTTGTCCAATGACCTCAATACTGCTCTGTGGGAGTTCCACATCTTTGGTAACAACCAATATCAGTCTTGGCTAATTTGCAAGTTTAGAGCTCTAGAGACAACAGCAGCACTGAATTAATAAGCTATATAGGAGAGGAAATGGGAAAAGACTATGAAAATCACTGAGGCTTCAATATTGATGATGTTGACATTTATTAATTTTTGCAGTGTTAAAAATCTGAGTCTTAAGTTAGTTTACCCCAATTCTAAAGCTGCTGTGTTTCTCGTTAAAAGTTCTATTGGCAAAGAAATGAGAAAAATATCCAGAACAAAATGTACTTCTAATTTGTGAAATGAATATCTCATGTTTCTAAGAACTTGGAAGCTACAAAGAAAGGAAGGACATTTAGTCCAGAAAGATGGAGAAGTTCAGTGAAGAAGATAATGTTTCCTTTCTGAAAATGGTGTTTATGGACATCATAAATTATAAGGAGGTAGTCACAGTGTTGAAGGAAAATACATGCTCCAAATTCAAAAGACCCCAAAGTTGCATAGTCAGTGTTGAGAAACATATTTAGTCTAAGGGGGCCAACTAAAGCAATCATCCACCAACAATGCATTGGCTGATGTTGGCTTTAAGGTATTTCCACTCAGAGTTTATGCTCAGTCCTCTTCAGTAATATATCCACTGTTGTATATGCACCAGTGTTGAATAAAAAGAAAGCAAAAAGAACTTCAAAGAATTATTTTAAAGCCTTTATAGAAAAAGATTTATGTTTATAATGTCTGAAACATCATGGTTAATTTCCAGAGACTGAGTGAGTGAATTTAGAATTGGTAAATCAGAGTGGGCTCTTTGGCTTTCTCAGATCCTCAAGATGAAATGAATTCTCAAGATGAAACAAATGCCTCGGGATATTTTGCTGCTGTAGAAATCTCTGTGTCTGTGTTGAATTTTGAGTTAAAATTTTCATTTTTATCTTTCACTGAGGTGCGTTAATTTTCTGTGTAGAACAACAACTAAACAAACAAAAACACTAGGACAGCTGGGTGGTGGTGTCAGAGGCTGCTAAATCTCTGTGAGTCAGGAGCCAGCTTGATCTAAAAACACTAAGACTCATGTGCTCTTGTTAATTCACTTAAAAGTTATTGCATAGCCAATATGCATTTCAAGTTCTACATAAGGGAGAGAAGAAAGTGCTGAGGGGGACACATATATCCCTGTTCTCAGAAAATTCATAGTCTATTGGGGGGATGGCATATAAAAATATGTGAACACCTAATTAAATGTATAAGAACAAAACTCTGAGACATGCTGTGAATTTTATGACTGGGATGCTGTATTGCTATGCACAGATTGGGATAAAACTAAAGCTAAAGATTTGAATAATTGCAAAAAGAAAGCCATATGAAATCTTGTAGAAGATCAATCAAGAGGTGAACTCCATGAAAAGGAGACAGATGAATGTAGTCTTTAGGTACTGAATGAGTTAAAACCAGGAACAAGTGAAGTTTGGGGTTCATACAAAATTGGAAGGGTGCTAAGAGTCATGACATTCACAGGGCATCATGTAACTGATTATCAGCTAATGGGAGGTTTTGACTAGGTAGAAAACATCATGGTGCGTGCATGTGCGTGCGTGCGTGCGTGTGTGTGTGTGTGTGTGTGTGTGTGTGTGTGTGTGTGAGCACGCGTGCACATGCATACACACATTTACCCTTTCATGGCTACAATAAACTAGAAGGGATTTTGGCAAATATAATGGTAGCAGAATTTGGACAGTTTTATAGATATAATTCACAGGACTTACTGATGATGTAGGAATGATGTCAAGAGGACATGATGAGGTTTGTCTTATTTGCTTGAGTAAGAGCATCCATGGCAAACTCATGTTGAGTGAGGGCACATATCAACATACACAAATAGCATGCAATCACAGAATATTTATAAGAAGTAATGAAATGAAACCTACTGACTCTCAATTAAGGGATACCCCAAAGTTTGTGCAACCCCTTTCTAAGACCTAGAGACTGTTCCCCAGTGGATCTCTTTACTTGCATCCCTGTCCTCATGGCTCAAGATGAGATACAGACATCCCAATAATAAATTAAGTATATACTTTCCATGTTCAATAAAGAGTTAGTAGAATTGCTATATCTTTAGTAGGTTAAAAAATGCAGGGCCCTGTGTGAAATGTCTCTAGTGGTTTATTCTTTAAAATTCTTCCTGTTCAGAATGTACTACTTAATGAAAGTCCCTATTACTTTTCTGATTCGTGTTGCCTTCAAGTGGCCTCTAGGGTCTTTAGAAACATACCATTTTATTCTTAATCATCATCCCTAAGTACTCAGTGCTGCATTTGGGAATATTTTTATGCTATGTAAATCAAGGCTGAATTCTTATTATGGTCAAGGGGTGGGTTCTTGAGATCTTCAATAACAGTATTGTTACAACAGTAACAACAGCAACAAAAAGAATGAAAGCTGGAGGGAAGGAGGAAAAAAAGCAAATAACCCATATTACTTATTGATTACAGTGATAAACAAATTCTGAGATTAAACAAATAAATAAATGTTACCAAGGATTCTCCCCTTAAAGGAAAATGCATGGGCATGTAGAATGAGGAAATTCAGGAGACAATGCTGTAAGCATAGAGATAGCAATGGGAACTCATGTTTTCTAAACCATGTCTATGCTTGTGTAGACATGCAATTAATAAATATGCCTGTAAGCATGTTTATGCATATATATGAGTACAGATACATATGTCTGTAGATATTTCCAATCTGTACCTGCCGAGAAGATCATAATGCAAAGACAATAACACTGAGCACATTTTACCATACAACCCCTATAAGGCTTGGAAACATTTCAGAAGGATGTAAGGGGATTAAAAGATCCAGAGAACCAGGAAGTCAGCTGTGAAGTTGTGTCCTCTAGATGCAACATGGAAGCTGTTCCTGTGAAGTCACAACAATATGGCTGCCTAAACAAGACCTAAACATTGATACCAGTTGAAATACCAGTGGGGATGCTGTAGCAATCAATGGGGTCCCATCACTAGATGAAGAGATATGAACAATTAGCAACTTCTTAGAGAGAATTAATCTTCTCCAGGGATAAGCCCCTAACTGGTAATCTAA